CAGTGGGAAAATCACAATCCCTGATAATCTTATAGATAATAAATAGGCCAAGGTAAACATAAAGGAGGAGTATATTTGTTCTTATTAATCTTTATGACTTTAGCTCTGTGAGACGAGATACAGTCATGTGTTTCTATTCAGACTGATGACATTTGATTGTTGTGTTGGAGAATAAGACAAGCAGATGGACAATTCGATCAGGACATTGAAATAAATAATTATTTAAATTTTCACTCGGATCATCCAATAAGCATAAAGACGTTTGTTTCAGTAACTTTAAATTCACTCATCTGTAATTCAATACATTTGTATGTAACTAGGTATATAAGTGATATAGAAAATGGAATCTCTTAAGTTATTTATTTAGTTATTTAAGCACAAAGAATTGGTGCAATATAGTGCCAAGAAGATGTGCCACACAATAATAATAAAACAACATATGAGAGAGCAGATAAAGTACGTCATTTGGGGAGGGGGGGAGGAGGGAAACAGTCATATTTAACAAGTTCAAACAGCATTCGTCAATTATTGTCGGAAAGGGAAGAAAGAAGGAAATTGTAACACTTTCGCCATTCATTGATTTCGATTCTTAGCCATATCCGATAACGTTATGAGATACCGATTCAAGCTATCTCTCGGACTCTAACCAGGAAGTCTTGCTACATCAGCCGATGTTAAACTAACACAAATATCTTTCATCCCACGACACCACGTTATGGGCTGACCACCTCTCTGCTTTTTCCATCGTGTCCCAGGGCTAGCGAACAGAGACCACCGGTACGGAAGCCTCTGGGATGACATTCGTAGCACATGTCTACCAGGCCTTCGGGGCCGATATTATAACTGCATTTAACTGAATAAACCAGTCGCCAATTTGTTATGTCCGTGCCTTCTAGTTATTATAACGGTAATGAAGTCGACTGATACGCTAAATATGCCCATTTGTCCATTGTACTTTCCAATCCACTGAGCCACGCAAATATCAAAAGACAAAGGCTGGCCTGTGACTGTAAGATTATTGTAACATATAATTTAGGAAACAAAACATGACATTTATACATTTTCTTCATCATAATAAAGTCGGTTCACATCTGTGAGAAATAGACTGTTCTTATTGGCTGGGAATGGCTATTCTGATTGGTTGGTGATCGGACAAAGACCAAGGTTAGGACAAAAGACGATTAATTGATCTCACACACACTAAATCACAATATGCGTGAGAAATGATACATTCACATAGTATGACTCCATCACAAGATAAATCATACGATCTGTGTGAAAGGGAATGATATACAATTTTATGCTGGGTCCTATCAACCGATGTTTCCAAATGACGACACTCAACGAATGGTGTTCCTCACTGTCTCCAAACATAAGCATCTCTAAAATGGGAAACAACCAAAGGCAGTAGATGTCAGAGATACATATCTGCTATTTAAAGGAAATCTTGCCTATAATTTTCTATACACATTGGGATTACTGTAAAGTGAATGTACTAACTGAATGAATTTTCAACGATATAGAACTTTGAACAAATGCATAGCTGTTCAAGTTGTTGAATTTCATACAAGCACACGTAAAGGTATGAAGAAGAAAAAAAGAAATGCCAAGAAACCATAATAAACGGAGATATGAGGGGGAGGGGTGGGGAAACACACAATAACTTCATTCTGTGCCACTGAGAACAGCTCTAAACCATGTTACCAACAGTTTGCAGCTGTTAATTCTTTGTTCCTTGAGATCTTCAACCACCAGGCAGTCTATATCTTTTTAAGTGACTCAAATCAAAGACTTGAAAAATGAATTCCGGGTTTTAGTTTGACGACCATCTTTAACTTCTTCGGCGCAGATTCACAATCTCATCGTCTGATATTCCCTCGCTTGCCTAACACTTTACGCCTATTGTCAACATTGCTTACTCTCTCTCTCTCTCTCCCTATATATACATATATATATATATATATATATATATATATATATATATCACTTAACATGTGAGATGGAACTCGAATATATGTAGTCGAACACACACACACACACCTAGCCTTTTACATTCCCCATTTCTATTCAATTTTATCATAGATGTACTAACCCTAACTCACTTCAGTGACTCACGGATTGACTTGCTACCAGGGAATAATCTCGTTGACTTAGAATATGCAGACGATGTAGTCCTTCTAGGCGAGGACGCTGATAAAATGCAGAGTCTTCTGAACACCTTGGGCTGCAATCTACGAATGTTTGGCATGCGATTCGCTCCCGCCAAATGCAAGATGATGTTACAGGACTGGACTACACTGACTCCTAGTTTAGAAATCGGGAGTGAAGTGGTAGAGCGCGTTGACCGCTTCACTTATTTGGGAAGTACCATCATCCCCAACCAGTTGATCTCCGACGAAATCTCAGCCCGGATACAGAGGGCTAGTTTCGCATATGCCAGTTTACGCCGTCTCTGGCGTAGACATGATGTCCGGCTGGCTATCGACCACAGGGCGTGTGTACTGCTCAACAGTCCGCTCCGTCCTCCTTTATGGCTATGACTGAGACCTGGCCATTGGGATTGAAAGACATGAAAAGATTAGCTGTCTTTGATCATAGGTGCCTGCGTTCTATCTCCAGTGTGAAGTGGTATAGTAAGGTAAGCAATATTGAGGTTAGGCGTCGAGTGCTGGGTAAGGAGGGAAATCAGTTGACGAGACTGTGAAATTACATCGACTGAGATGGTTAGGACATGTGTTACGCATGCCTAGTCATCGCCTTCCTCGCCCGATGGGCATGTTGGCTTACATAGGGTCAGGCTGGAAAAGAGCTAGCGGCGGTCAAACGAAATCTACAACAGTTAGTCTAGGCGATGTAGGAAGGTGTAGACTTCCTGGTTGGGGTCCTCGGGATGGTAAAAACCAATGGTTGGAAACAATTGGTGATATGGCTCAAAATCGTTCTCAATGGCTGGCGCAGATGCATTGACTCCTTGTGGCTTATGATTTCCAATGAAACTGTTTTGTTCTCCGTTATTACTATTCCTTTGTCTCACATCTCTGTTTAATGTCTCTATTATGCATTTCTTCTCTTGCTTTGTGTGCTACAAAGAGGGAGTGTGGCGACTCGAACAGCTGCACATCGGTGCAGCATTCTATGTCGAAAACAGACAGACAGTTTTTTTGCATATCTTCCACTTTCAATGACTACCATATCTCACAGTCATAAAAGAAGAGGACAGGGCGAACTGCTGCTCAACAGGAAATATCATTAGCTCACACATCTTTTTAGACTTCCGACTCATCGTTTTCTCTACATAGCTCATTCATTGGTTTAAACTCTTGGTCATCAACCAGTAGTAGTGGGTGGGTTGTTTGTTCAAAACCAGCTCCCCACCTACCTACCTACAGCTCTTTCACGCAACAAGTGTGGGGCCCACTCAGTTGGGCCCCTCAACTGTAATATCTTCCCACGTTCTTTTTTGTGTGTATTATTTTTGATTATCATGTGATATGATGTATCGAAACAGCAATAATACTAATAATAATACCAATCTAAATGCTTAATTTCTTGTTTTTTGTTTTGCAATATCAGAAGAATTGTAGTACAATGAATTCATTTACTGTGAAAGAAGAACTTGTGCATTGGTGTGAATCTCAACTGTCTTCCATGCCATTGTCTGGTATCGATTTACCGACTTTAGTTGATTTATTATGCGATCTACAAACTTCAGATGAGGTAAGATCTTCTTTTTTTACCTAGATAGTGTGGTGGCTAAAAATGCCGGTTTTAAAATCAGTTATATACTGACGAGGCTTTTTTGAGTAAACTATATATATATATATATATATATATATATATATATATATATATCACCTAATAGATTGAGAGACATATCAACCTAATGCGTTAACGAAAACCGATCTTATGGCTTATCACATCAATACCACGAGCGGGAGAAGATGCGCTGTTGGCAGAGGGACTCTTACTGCTTGCCTTCCGAAAATATTGACTTATTTCATCCAAATCTAGATGAATTCTTGATTCAGTACTTTTTGATAACTCTGAAAAGCCAAAACTCCTAAACCAATCAAAACCCGGGTGATTTAGTTTCATGTTGGATATATAACAAACTATCTTTATAAGTAGTATTGTGGAAGGAAACTGTCAACAGTAAATCTTTGTTGCTAGTGGCATCTGACCTCCGAATACACTAACTGTAGCTTTAAAATTTTATGAATTCAAGCTTGTTCAACTTTCTTCCAACTATAGCTGCTGAGAGAGAGATAATCTTGATATCTGATGCTGTATTGATGTGTAACCTCGCTGAATTGTTATATGTGTGAATAATAATGAATTTTTGACGGTCAGATACACAAGCATATGAAGCAGCTGTGAGGCTGAGAGATTTACCTATTGATAGATTTTCGGTGATACATGGAGGATGGTCACTGTCGTTTTTGTTGTGTGTGTGTGGCTGGCCGGCTGGCAAAGGTCATCTCTGTATCCAAGGTCCTGTATTCCAGACTCAGTAGGTAGGTACGCACCGGTGAAGAGTCCAAGACTAGGACGAAAGAGTTATCTGTCTAGTACTCCTTCGTGGTTTTCCAATGGTCGTCTAACCGATATGATATCAGTTCATGATGAAATTCTGAAACCCCAATCAAATGAAATCCCTGCAAGAAAAACTTTTTGTTTTTTGGTGATGAAAACTGCTTTTCTATTGATTATTATTATTATTCCCTTGGACTCCTAGTGGAACATATGGCTTCAACTGCACGTCTCCACTTGCTTCTCTCTTCTGCTGTACTTTTCACCTGCGTCCATGTTAATCCATACTGTTTCAACTCCTCTTCACACGATCTCCTCCATGTCCACCCTTGGACGTCCCACTCGCCGCTTCCCTTTCGGGTTTCACTCGAGCGTTGGCCTGACGCGCAATGTCACTCAGCGGCCTCCTCAGCGAGTGAGTGTCCTATCCATCTCCACTTTCATTATCCTACAGGAGATTGGTTCCCACTGCATGAGAGCTTTGACTGCTGTTGGTGACATCATGATGGCCACTCCCTCGGTGTGCTCGTGGCTGTCCTCTGGGTGACCGGAATAGATTACTGTCTCTCCAGTTGATAGTTGGCACCTTCCACATCCGTTCCATCTGCTCTCGCAGATTCCCAACACTTCTATTCCATATCTTCTCATTTCTGCGGCTACCTGGGCAGACCTTCTAGCTTCGTACATTGTACGAACATTCCACGTCCCCATCCTTATTTTCGCGTTCATTGAAAGGTGGCACATTGGCTGACTGGCTTCCCGAAGGCTTTTACCAGCCTGCGTTATTTCACTTCCCCGATTCCAGCGGAAAATAAGGTTATTGTTTGTATTTTTAGTATTTTTAATATATTTGTGCGTTGAAGTTTCTGTAGCAATTTGGTTAAGTTTTGGGGGTGGAGTTGTTAGTTACTGATTGACATCATCATCTTATTCCCTGCACAAATTTGGAGCACATTAACACTGAATTTAACTCCTCGAGATTTATTACACGTACACACACACACACGCACATATGATTTTATAGTATAGGCGTGTGTATTTCTATTTTATTTTTAGTGTTTTGTTATCATTACTTAACAAGTTATGACATGATCATAATTTTTTTAAACCAGTGAAATTACTTCTTTTTTTCTGTCTGTCTGTTGGGTTGGTTTATGTGGTTTTTGTGTATGTATTTTGTCTGTGTTTTATATGTGTATATAAACTCTAAAATAATTTAGGCTATTTAGGTTAGTTGGTTTTTGTGATTGATTACCAGTCACAGTGACTAAATTTAAATGTCATTCAGTTGATTTAATAAATTTTGCACACGTACCTTTTCATCATGAGCAGCTGACAATTGGTTAGAGAACCATTGGAAAACCAGCTGGGAGTACTGAGACAACTGTTTCGCCCGCCTAGTTAGGGACTCTTCAGTAGTATGCACCCACCGGGGTTCGAACCCACGACTTTGTGGTTACAAGGCGAGAGAAATCGTAGATCATTAAGCCACTGGGACCCGATCAGATGGCTTATGAATTCTGTGTGACGACAAATACCCACTGAAGACACTGGCTAGAGGTCGCGCTATTTCATGAATTGGCAGAAGTTAGAATTCATGGGCTGGCTGGCCATTGGATTGGGTTTCAGTAGCTAAGTGGTCTATGAGCTCTCTCGCCTTGTAACCAGAATGTCCTGGGTTCGAACCCTGGTGTTAGCGTACTACTGAAGGGTCCCAAACTGGGACGAAACAACTGTCCAGTACTCCCAGCGGGTTTTCCAATGGTTCTCTAACTGATGTCAGCTCATGATGAAATCCTGTAACCAATCAACCAAATCCCTACAAACCAACACTTGAACACTTACCTTTGATTTCTGCTGACGCGCTTCTAAATTTCTCCTTGTCCACTAGGCAATAATTAAGCCCAGAAAAGAAGTGAAAGTGGTTGGACATGAAGAAAGCAACAATTCTATACCTTAAAGATAACACGCGTCAGTGGCACAGTGGTAGATTGCTCGCCAACCACGACGTATGTAGTGTGGGGTTCGAACCCCACTCCTCTTTTACCTCGTTAAGCCAGTAATAAGACTGCTAAAGAGGGAAGGTTGGGAGGGTGTGGGTCGGGCATGAGGTCTACAACATCCTGTGAAAATAAATACCATCGCCCTAGCTTGAAGCCGCCTATGCTCCACTGGGTACGTAAAGAAATAAAATAAAATTATAAATTCAAAACAACACATTATTTCCAGCGAAACTTTAATGTATCCTAAAGATTTATGTTCTACGCAGATCCCAGGAAATGAGAGTCAAAGTAACCCAAATGGACTGAGGCAAACGAATGATACCTTGTAGTGACGACGACCAATCAGAATTCGTGTATGTAATAGTGAAGTTATATATGCGGGATAAATCAAGTTTTAATTTTTAATAAATGTTCAGATTTTAAGAAAAAAGACATCCAAGCAGTTTATGTGGATGGATATCGACACTTTCCTGAAAAACTGAGAGCTATTCATACAAATTTTCAGAAGTATGTAACCTGTTTTTTCAATGCTTTGCGTTCCCAGTGGAACATAGGACTTGAACTTTCAGCAGCTGTGGTATTTATTTTTACGGGATGAGTTTGCTAGCCTCGTGTCCCCCCCACTCCTCCCAACTTTCCTTCTTTACCAGTCTTATTACTGGCTTAGCGAGATGAAGGAGTACGTCAGTGGCCGGGGTTCGAACCCCGAACCACATGCGTGGTTGGCGAGCAGTCTGTTACTGTGCCACCGACGCACAAAAAATATGGAAAGCTTCACGATTTTGCGTGTGTCATCCTTGCTCAGGGGCCATGCTAATCTTCTCTGTATCGTTCGAATTTTAGACCATCTTAGGGTTATTTAGTTGTCGGTCTTCCACATGGCTGGTCTTTTATTTCATCATAAAAGCCTGTTTCGAAACAGTCTCACATTTTATGAAATTATGTTGATATATATTTAGTTAACAGGTTTATGTATGTTAGATAGTATGTGTTATATGCATTTGATGGATAGAGTCCATTGGCTTTTACACTCGACTTTTAGCCGATAGGTCTTAGGTTCGAATCCAACTCCATCTTGAAGGCTAGCTAGATCTCAGTCACACCTGGATCAGATGTTTATTCCTATAATAATAATAATAATAATTTTTGCTTTATTCCAAAAACAGTATTAATGATACAGCAAGGAATTTTCAGCATTCAGTACAGTATTGCATCTAATTTACTCAAAAACGACAACAACAAACAAAAAATAGTAGATAAACGGAATAATTAATACATAATAATGATAACAAAACGTTTTTATAGGAGCTATGTAGCAATTACAGTAGAGGATAAGGAGAAAAATATAAAATTATAGTAATAATAGTAATAACAACTAAAATAAAAATAGCAAAGTTATAATTAAACGATAGAAAGGGTGACACCATAGAATTACAGAAAGATGAACAATGAAAGGGTCGATTCACTATGCTAATTACATAGTAACTTATATGTTTCACGTCTAACAGTGTCTTCATCACATAAAATACGGGCTAAGTACGGTATTGTAGAATTTTTGTACTTAGTGGTACGAGCATATAATTTCTTATATTGACTTCTCGTTCTACCTGACGAGATACAAGGGGATAATTGTGAATAAAGAGGGTGCAGAGGGTCTGACAGTACGGCCTTTGCCCAATTTTTACAGGAATTTACGTGTCTCTCGACTATGGTATTGGCGAGATCACGCAGTGGCAAACCACAAGCCCTACTCACAGCATTTAATACCCTTCGTAATACGGCATAGTCTTTTTTAAGAAGCCCAGGAAAGATTAATGGAGAACAATAAAGTAAAATGGGTAAAATACAGGAGTTTAAAAATCGCAGAACTAAAGGTTGGCTGATACCTTGTTGTCTTAACTTTTTAATGTAGAAGGTAAGACGAAACATTTTCTTAGAGACCAATAAAATGTGAGATGACCATGAAAGGTCCGAGGAAAGAACTAATCCAAGGTATTTAATGCTTGATTTGGTTTCAATTTCTGTGCCATCTATGCTACAGGCATCATGGGAACTAACTAGTTCATGTATGTCACGTCGATGGTTGAAGGTAAAGTTAACTGCCTGACATTTGGAAGGATTTAACATAAGACCATTTGACTTAGACCACATGCTGATGTCCAACAAAAAGCTATTAAGTTTGGAGCAGTCAGACTCAGAAGTGATAGGCAGTGATACAGTCAGATCATCAGCATATTTGACAAAATTGGTTTCGTTTAAATGTGGCAGGTCATGTAAGAAGAAAGAAAAAAGAAAGGGAGAGAGGACGGCACCTTGAGGAACACCGGCTTTTGTAAGCAAAGCAGAAGATTTGCCATTATATGCAGTATACTGCATTCTATCCGAAAAATAAGAATGCAACCAACTCTTAGCCCAGGATGCTGTGTGCGTCAAGGAGAGCTTATTTAATAAAAGGCCCCTAGGTACAGAGTCAAACGCAGATGTGTAGTCTAGAAAAGCACCACGGACATATTTGGCACCTTTGTCTAAACAAGAAACAACATTATGATATAAGACAACCGCAGCATCCAAGGTACTTCTACCATGTTTATATGCAAATTGCTTAGGGTCATTAAAAGCTTTCAATGAAGGTTCAAGACGAAGTAAAAGTAGTTTTTCCATCAATTTTAAAAGAGGAGAAGTAATTGCAATAGGCCTAAATTTACTATCGGTACCAGAAGATTGTTTTGGTATAGGGACAATTTTAATGTTTTTCCATGCAGAAGGTAGAACATTACTGGAAAAGGAAGCATTAAAAATATTAGTAAGAGGGTAACAAAATATCAGCACAGTTCCTGAGGACAATGGCAGGTACGCCATCAGGACCAAGGCTTTGGGAAGGCTTAAGAGAACGGAGACATTTAAGCACATCAAGGGTATTAAAACCATTAAAATTATTGTCTATGTGATTTGTATCATTAGGAAGGATATCGTCAGAGGAGCGTATGAAAGACTTATTAAGATTATTAACATTAAGAGATTGTACAGAATTACACCGCTTACCGCTAGTTATTTCTTTAAAAAGTTTCCATCATGGTAGGCGAAGGTTAAAGTCTATCGTTTTTTGTACACACAGTTTAGACTGTATGTGATTAATCCCCGAAGAGTGCTTCCATCATCACCTTCAATAACCAACCCTGAATTAGAGTTATGTGATGAAATAATTGTGAAACAGTCATTAATATTGATTGATTATGTGACCTGACATTAATAAGTGTTTTGCAATGGATGGTGATTCTGGATTTCTATTCAGATTAATCGCGTTGGGATTTTCTATATGGGTTTCTATATGAGTTTCGAAATATACATTCAGTTTTATTAGCTAATGGTTATCCGGAAAACTTTATCACTTGTCACAGTAAAGAAAGACCACATCCTGAAATGACAGCTCTTGTACCAAAGAAAGCTATCTTTATTAACCTACCTACCATTCAAGGGTGACCAGATTATGCAGTTGACAGCTCAAAGACACTTCGGTCAGCCATCAAACGCACATTCTACGCCGCATCTCTTTTTCTCACTTGCCGAACATTTTCGATCGCTGTCCCTTAAAGGACGAAATTCTGTGGACTCTACTTCAAAATGTATCTACCAGTTCACCTACAGCTGAGGTGAAACTTATATAAGTAGAACCAATTGAATGTTCCAATGTCGTCGAAAGGAACATGTTCCAAAATGGCTAATAAATCATATAGAAAATCCCAACGCGATTAATCTGAATAGAAATCCAGAATCATCTCCATTGCAAAACACTTATTAATGTCAGGTCACATAATCAATCAATATTAATGACTGTTTCACAATTATTTCATCACATAACTCTAATTCAGGGTTGGTTATTGAAGGTGATGATGGAAGCACTCTTCGGGGATTAATCACATACAGTCTAAACTGTGTGTACAAAAAACGATAGACTTTAACCTTCGCCTACCATGATGGACTACATGACCTATCTAAATATGATTGGTCATTAGTATGTACTTTTGTGTTTTTTATTTAACTGAGTAATTGTCATGCACTTTATTTTATTTTATTATTGTTAACCATGTTAGTTGTAAAGCGGTTGTAAAGAAACTACGAAATGATGCCATCATCTCGCGAAATTTGTCTTCTTAATGCTGCCTTATTCAAATTTATCAAAGGGGACTAATTGTTTTAATTTTTAATTTTTTCATCTTTTTCTTTTTCTTTTTTTTGTACAGATTGTAGAATTTATTGAAACTTCATTGGGTCGATCTAAACGTGTAACAAAATTCTCTAAAGATTTTCTACAGAAAAGAGCATTACTACTCAATGTCGCTATTGAATAGTGATATAATGAGATAATAAATAATATTCGATGACGTATATAATTCAATTCCCCCGTTGTTGTTGATTCTTTGTTGTTGTTGCTGTTGTCATCGTTTCAATGTGTATGCATTGTAAGTATTCAGTAGTGTAATTTTTTGCATACTTTTGGTTAATTGATTTATAGAAAAAAATGTAATTATTCATCAGTAGGTACGCTTATAAAAGTGTTTTTATTTTTTAAATTACAGCTTGATTCCACACGGTATTGTTTGGTACATGTATGAAGTTTTCAGCATGTGATGTGGGTAGCCCAAATTTTGCAGGCAGGGGATCGAACCTCAGACCATGTGCATGCTCGGCGAGAGTCATAACCACTGTGCCACCGATGTACATTTACTGTTTGTGTGTGTGTGTGGTGGGGAGGGTTACTTGGGATTTCTTTTATATTTCGTGAAAGTAAGTAGAGTTAGTTGATCGATATGCAATACTCCAACGAGTTCCAAGTGGAACATAGGGCTTCAGCAACACATTTCCACTTTGTTCTACTTAGTGCTATCCTCTTTAGATGGTTCCAAGGTTGACCATAATCTCTCATCCCCTCCATGTCACCCTCACACCGACGACCAAGTTGTTGCTTTCCATTCGGATTCCATTCGAGGAGCAGTGGTCTGACGCACGATTTCATTCGATGACTTCCTCAACGTATGTCTTATTCATCTCCATTTTCTCCTGTATATATTTGTTGAGCAATCGGCTCTTGCCTGTTGGTTTGTTCCCAGTCAGAGTTTTCTCTTGCTAATTCTTTCTGGCCGGCCATTTGATGTTCAGTATGGAGTCAGCGAGGGAGGCAGCTGTTGATAAAAGTCTCCTGTAGCCTGTTAGAAATACTTTTTAGTGATGCACTCGTCAATTTTCCGACTCATATTGAAGAACTGACTGATTTGACATAGGTGTTGAAAATTCGAATCTTGTTTTTTATGCTCGCTGAGTAAGAGCAGAAGACTTCCAAACTGGTTTAAGATTGATGAAGGTGAATTTTGACTTTCCGATTCTCGTTGGCTGGCTTTCATATCTTCCTCCGTTCTCTTGCTTGTGATTGAAACGATGCTGGTTGCCTAGATGAGTGCAAGAAGTAACCTCTGTCAAATCCCTCCCCTTGATGATGATTAGTGCTGGTTGTATATATATACTCGTGTTTGATGAAAGCCTCTAACAAAGTAGAATGTTTCCTCATCTCTAATTGAACGAAACTACGAGGTCAATTTATTAGATCAATGAACAATCAATATTAAGTGAAGAAGAGATCCAAAAAATTTCAATTGCCCATAATCATCTCTCACCTCCTCTTCGCCAAACTATCTCCTACTTGTCACCCTCGCACCGACGATCTACTGGTCACTTCCTATTGGAGTTCCATTCAAGCTATGGCCTGCATTGTGTGCGATGTCATTCGACTGCCTCCTCAGTGTGGTGTATGCCCATTCCATCTCCATTTTTTCCCAACCCAGGGTCTCGATAGTCGACGAGCTAGCCTCTGAACTTGTTTGAAGGTCATAGGTTCGCTTCCTCGTGCGGTGATGGACACTTACAGATGGAGAGTCAGTCACACTAGTTGTCCAGTACTCCTTGGTTTACAAAGATTGTCACCGTTAACTGATATTGGTTATATATATATATATATATATATATCATCGTAAGAAAGTAGATTCAAATTTTAAACACAAATATACAGTCATTCCTTCTATACGGGTTAGAAACTTGCACTGCGCGTCACGAAAAGGATCTCCATCAAGTTACAGACTTTTATCAACAACTACCCGCTTCACTGGCTCCATACTGTATATCAAATGGTCGACTGGCCAGAAAGAATTAGCAACAAGAAACTCTGGTTGCGAAAAAACCAACAGGCGAGAGCCGATTGCTCAACATATATGTTGGAGAAAATGGAGATGGATAGGGCATATGTTGATGAGGCCGTCGAGTGATATTGCGTGGAATGCAGGTCATCGCTCGAGTGGAATCCCAATGTGAAACGACGAGTTTGTTGTCAGTGCGAGGGTGGCATGGAGGAGATCGTGTGAGTTGGGGGAGAAGGATATGAGGCATTATGGGCAATCGTGGGGTCAGTCAGCTGAAGGAGGATATCAGAAAATAGAGCAAAGTTTTTAGATGTATTGTTGGAGCCTTCTATTCCACTCGGAACCCCAGGGAATAGTAATACAGGAAGAAGAAGAAGATAAAGTTAATAGTAGGAGACCAGTAGTGCTTGCTAGTTATTACAAAGTGATCTGAGCCCCGGACTACCATTCTACTGCTCGTTTAGAGCCTGTCACCATTTACAGGATACACACCTCTAGGCTTGAGATCCACCCTAGTTTCCTTTGGAAACCCCTCCATATCTAAATCACAACTATAATCTCTACTTGATATCATTATAATAAATTCGGTATCAGGTAAAAGTTAGAGAGAGGGAGAGGGAATATAATTGCATAATGGTGCCAGCAACTATTAGGTAATATGAACCCGGTGAGTGCGTACTGATGAAGGGTCCCAAACTAGGACGAAATAGCCCTCCAGTACTCCGTGGTGATTTTCCAGTGGTTGTCTAACCAATGTCAGCTCATGATGAAATCCTGTAACCAATCAATCAAATCCCTACAAACCAACACTTGAATATCGATGAGATGCTCACTAGCGACTTGCCGTATTCAGGTAGGTAGTTACCTGGGGTTCTAATGAGAAGTCGTGACCAGTAGGCTGCAGCAAGTCGGGTGTGAGAACAAATACTCGCCGAAGACATTTGCTAAGGGGCGCGCTATGTCGTGATTTGGCAGAAGCTAGAATTCATGTAATGGCCATTGGATCGGGTCCCAGTGGATTAGTGGTCTACGAGTTCTCTAGCCTTGTAACCAAAAAGTCGTGGACTCGAATCTTGTTGGTGTGTTCGTACTGCTGAAGAGTCCCAAACTAGGACGAAACAGCTGTCTGACAGTACTCAACTGGTGGTTTTCCAGTGGTTGTCTAACCAATGTCAGCTCATGATGAAATCCTGTAATCAATCAATCAAATCCCTACAAAGCAATACTTGAAATAAAAGTATTTCTCAATGGAATGTACCATTATATTATTATAAATCTGTATGTCACTTCTTACACCTATAATTCGCTTTATTGTTGTTGTTGTTTTCTTTTCTATTTTGTCCTTTAGGTGTTACGTAATATCAAGTGACAGACCGTCGACCATTTATTCTCAAATGCGCAATGCCATTGTTAATATTATTACTTATTACTATTATTATTATTATTATCAATTATTATTATTATGATAGTGATGATTTATCATCAGTACAACAAATGAAATTAGAACAAACCACGAAATTCTTTTTTTTATATATCCACATTCCTGTCTCTATATGTCTCCTCATTTTTTTTTAAAGGTGGCCCCCTCCTACTCCTCCCATTTTTAATAATATTGTTGACTGTTGGTTGTTCATTTATTTTATACTACTCACATACTCACACACACACACACTCTCTCTGTCGTTTGCCCATTGACGTCCCATTTATTCATGTGTACTATAAATACACACACACACACACGCAATTATCACATCAGGAAATTCGTTTACTTACCTGTTCTGTTCTGTTTTGGTTTTGTGTTTATTTTGCTTCTCCTTCTTTCTTTTGTGGTTACATCATCATCGTCGTTATCATCACCACCACACCTCCTGCTGCTGCTACACTCGTCACTTCTTGACCTGACCATTGATTAATTAATTCAAGTTCTTCGTGACTGCAGACATTGACGACAGACTGACTATCTGGCTGACAACTGGCTGGCTGGCTGGTTGGCTAGCTAGCTAACTCTAAATCTGTTAATATTTTGTTGTTTTCTCTATGTTTTGCTTTGTTTTTTGTAACCTTGATCACTTTTTATTGATGTCGTGTTTCTGGGGTGAGGGTTGGGGTGCGCTGGGATGGGGTGAAGCGGGACGGGGCTATTCAGTGTTATCCTTTTTATATCATTTACTCTTCATTGTGTTTATTAATAGTTTCAGTCCCCCCACCACCACCACTACCAGCAGCACCATCACTGCTTTGTCTCACTTCCTTTTAGACAACAACAACTACACGACGACGGTGACGGTCATTCAATCATCATCCTTTTAGTTGGTGAAAGCAGCGATAACAATTTTCTTTTACTTCTTTTTTTGGTTGTTCTCTGTGTGCATTTTCTTCTCTTTCTTTTCTTGTTGGTTTTTCCTTACTTGTCTTGTCTCTCTTGTCTCTCCATTTACTACTCTCCTTTGTTTGTGCGCTGTTCCACACACACACACATCGCCTGTTATTGTCTCCTTTCTAGTGTCCTCACACACACACACGAACGCACGCACACACAGATAGACAGACAGACAGACACAGAGTTTTGATTGTGTGTGTGTGTGTTAACACGCAGAATATTCATTCATTCATTCACATACATGTATGTGTACATAGAAAAAAGGTGAATAAATAAATAAAAAAGAAGTATCAATAACGCTCTTGTTTTCTTTTATATATGTATGTTTTCTCCTCTCTGTTTTGTTTGTTTGTGTTTGCTAAATTATTATTATTGTTCCCTTGGGTTCCTAGTGGAAAATAGGGCTTCAACTGCACGTCTCCACTTGCTTCTGTCCTCTGCTCTACTTTTCACTTGCATCCATGTTAGTCCATACTGTTTCAACTCCTCTTCACACGATCTCCTCCATGTCACCCTTGCACTGACGTCCCACTCGCCGCTTCCCTTTCGGGTTCCACTCGAGCGTTGGCCTGACGCGCGATGTCACCCAGTGGCCTCCTCAGCGAGTGTCCAATCCATCTCTACTTTCTCCTGCATATTTGTTGGGCGATTGGTTCTGGTTTGGTTGTTCCCATAGTTTCTTGTTTGTGATTCTTTCCGGCCATCTGATCTTCAGTATAGATCGAAGACAGTTGTTGATAAAGGTCTGCAACAGGCTGTTGGAAATATTTCTTGTGACCCGCCAAGTTTCTGATCCGTATAGAAGAACTGACTGACTTGACGTTTGTATTGAAAATCCGTATTTTGTTGTTGATGCAGGCTGAGTGAC